GCTCGTGTCACAGAAGTTTACCCAGGTGCAGATGGAAGAATCCGAAATGTAAAGGTCCGTACAGCCACGGGTGAATATTCACGACCTATCACGAAAATTGCTGTCATCCATCCAGTTGAGGGGGATGAATAAGAGATAACAAACACGGCGCTGGCGAGACCGAGACAAATATAAGGACAAAATACGTCGGAAATATTACATTATTTATAGTTTAAAGTGACGGTGAATGGTTGCGGGACAATTGGGTTATTATTATTCAGGATTGTGCAACTTGTAAGTTTATATTGGAATGGAGTATCGCTTTATACACACTGGTATTTGTTTATATTGATAACTACATTATTATTACGGAATATATGTAATAGGCCCTTTCAAGGTTTATTCCGCCATATTGCCGGGGGTGCAAAACATTGGGGCGAGCGCGCGGCCAGTCATGGTTTCCCATACAAATTACTAGTGAGTGAGCGATAATTTTGTGTGGACATTTTGTTGATTTTCTTATGCTATATTAAACGATAGTCCAAATTTTTGTATTCTGGCTGATCTGTGTGTATTTTCAAACTACTGGTAAAGATTTCAATGGAATCTGATTGGGGAAAATCCGTGAATATGCTGATTTCTTCGACACCTTTCGGCGAGCTATTTACAGTGGGTTCACGACAACGAAACGCCGAAAACAGGGCTTTTTCGTCTCTGTTTGTTTAAACAAAACAACATTACAAAAGAATCATGTTTAAAAACAATACAACAAAGCCGTCGGGAAAGAAGAAAGACGTCCAGGTGCGAGAGTGTAACCTGATACCAATGTCAATCTCACCTTTAATATCGAATCCAAAGGGTATATATTCAGAGATATTGAGTTTGAGTTGTTTATATCTTATGTTCTCATAGGAGGATTATATTGCAAATGGATTATTTTACGAGGATTTCGTTGGGCTGAGGGTTGACAGAGTGGGAAAAAGGTTGAACTTGTGGCAAGAGCATTTATTAAAGCATATGAATTGGGTGCTTCAAAGAAATTTACAAGGAACAAATTTTTGATAGATTAATTAAGAAGGAATACCAACAATGGCTACAAACTAATGATATTATTAAGTGCGAGGCTAGCACTCTGTGCGATGAATATTGGAAAGATGACATTCAAAAACATGGCCACATCTTGATGATGGAATGCTATACATTCTACGAGTAAAGGCAGTGGATGTTGAATATATTGGCAAATACAAAGATGAGAGGGCCTACTCATATTGGATGAGTGGATTTGTTGATATAATTCATGTCGCTAAATGCCCCATTGACAAGACCATGACATTTTTTGTAAATTCAGTATGTCCATCACAAAGGATGACTCACATATAAAAGTGTGGATGTGTGTCCTTGAACAGCTGGAACAGTTGAGCATGTAATCATGTACTTGCAGTCTTCAATGTATTAAATAAATTATGCTTACAACATGTCAACAAGCAATATATTTCCCCTGCCTGTGTGCCTGTATCAGTGTTCCCCAAGGATAGAACAAAGAAACTTGAAAAGAAGTAAATCTAAGCATGCAAGGTTAAAAATTTAATATTTAGACCAAAATTCTGGCTGCAATTAAACAGTGAGGGAAGAATTTGACCCCAGAAAACCTGAGGACAGAAATATTACCAATGAAAGAGTTTCTTTATTATTTATTGACTTAGTTTTAATTTTTCTCCCCTATGTACAGTTCCATAGACAATATTTACATATTTTTCCTTATATTAATTTGGGCTAAAGACCTATTAGATACTTTGTTAGGCTTTTTGCTTTAGGCCCCTAGTAAAGGTTTATAGTTAACTGTTAGATTTATAATATTTTATTTTATTTTACAGTCAAATCAGAGAGAGCATTTTCAGAGTAATAGAGGAACAATAATATGCAAATAGAATAATATGCAAATAGAATGTTTTCATCAAAAAATGCTGCTGAATTTGTTTTTTGAAGATGTATTGAGAGTTTGTCTTTATTCCTTATTCTAGTGAGTTCCATACATCAACTCCATTATTAGAGAGAATATGTTTTACATAATTTGTTCTTTTATACCACTTGTGAAGTTTTGATGAGTTTCTTGAGCTATTTTGATAATTTGATTGATAGTCACAAACATTTATCAAATACTTCAGGCAGGTTTTTAAGATTATTGAACTGCATTGTAGATACTGTTCCTTCTACTTGTGCTTTGCTCTCAGTTGGCTATGGGGGCATGCTGCAAGACCCTTGTATAAAAGTTCATAGTAAGCCAAGATTAATCCTTCTATTGTATCACACATGTGTGGGACGCTAAAAATGCTTAGTCAGCAAGTTTCAACCAATCTTTTTTAAACTCGCCCGCGTGACGTCATTAATAATAATAATAGCTTTATTCATCCATCTTAAGATAAAATGACTGATTGGACTTACAATTACTTGTTTTAGAAAGTATATATGGTGTGGATATGTCTTTATATTACAAATTGTTGTAAGATAATTTAGAAAACTAACTAAGAAGTTAAAACTAATAAGTTCTTTAATCTAATAAATATGCAATTTATGCAACGCAATAAATTGTGGTTAATGAAGTAATATGTCAAAGAAGACTCTATTTGCCTTATGGAAATGCCAATCTGTCATCAAAACTACTGCACTTGGAAAACAAGGCATTACCTTCTAATCATGCTGCCAAAAGAGATTGAACCTTGGCAACAGCACGTGAACACGTCATGCCCTTGGGTTTAATCAATCAACTCTTCTTACATATATCCGTCGCAACAATACAATGGCCCCATTCTTAGTGAAAGATATTTAGTTACGGGCTATATGCTTCACGCCTCATTCGCAATATTCTAACCAGAGCGTAAGCTACCAAAACCTGGTATGCAAAAAAAAAACAAAGTAAAGAGAACCGTTTTGCTCTCCGATTCGACCACCAATCTTCGAACAAATGGCAACAGTAATGAGCAAGATCAGAAGAACAAGGACGGTACAGACTCACAGTTATCCTGAGATGCACAAGATCCCATGCCGGCCGTGCACGCGGTGTTCCAGAACCAGAATATTGCCGCTGCTTGTAACCCACGTTCTGGGACCTCAAACGGAGTGAGTTCGCTCCATATTGTTTAATTACTTCCCTAATATAAGTTCTTGAATTTACCGCTGTTAGGCTGCATTAGTACTATGTAACCATATGTTACTCGATCTGGTCCTGTGTCATGCATGAGTCGCATTTTGTATTGTACAGTATTCGTAGGCTGTGCATTCGCGCTTACCCCAGGTTACGTGCTATCTTATATTATCTCTAGTTGCATGATCTTGCTACGTCGAATAATACCATACAAACAACACGTAATTTAACTGCATATGTAGATCAATAGATGTGGTTTGATACATTACACAACTCTCCATTCATTCCCCTTGCTTGTATTCGAACTCGTGTCGCATCTACTATTCGCTCAGGCGGGAACTATTTTGGCGCATTGACTCAAACAAAACAGTTTCACTCAGTAGCATGACGGGTTTTCCTTGTATGCCTAACAGCTGTATTACAGCCTTCTTGTGCTGCTACTTTCTACTCGTACTTAAATTGTATACACCCTCTGGTATATATATATATATTAGCCCCGGTCCCATGAGAGGCTATCTTCCTGTGCACAAGTCTTAACACATTTCTAGCTGCTATTGATAGCCTACTTTGTATCAATTTATGCCAGTCGTACGAACATTGTATTCAACTACAAAAAATTACACCCAGTACGATGTGGGTTTTTTTATCCTTGTTATATAAAGGAACGTTTATCCTAGTTATAAGGACGGTTTAACCTAGTTATCAGGACGGTCTATCCTAGTTATAAGGACGGTTTATCCTAGTTGTAAGGACGTACGGTTTGTCCTAGTTAAATGAGATGTTCATGATATACTTGAATTGACCTCGAAGAAATCCCAACTAAAGAGGTTATACTGTAGCAGCTGCAGCACGTTAATTAAATGTTTTCTTTGTGCAGATGTTTATTTTGTTACACTAACTGTACATACAGTGGCTTGCACACGGGGCTTCATTTTATCTTTCGTTAATTTACCCAAGCGTACACATTATGGCTAGCAGTATTTACTTAGGATAACTCGAAAAACTGCATCACATCACGAGCTATTTAATAAGATTAATTAAAGTTATTTTCCATTAATTAATCTCTTGCCTGGGAAAGTCCCGCACTTATTGCGTGCCATATAACGAATTTGCGCAATAGTTTACCTTACGCAATATACTACACGTTCCAGTTCAATACACATATTGTACACATGGCGTCTACCTGTATCTCATATTCAGTTATCTTTTTACCTATAAATTAACCACCTAGTTCCACAAAATTCTCACTGTAGAGCACCCGTTTTTCTCTTGCGTCTTTCATTTTGTTTTTAAGGCGAACAACAAACTTGGATGTGTTCTGGTGATGTTCACAAGTGCTATCTGTACCGACGTTTAACCCTGGATTGCTGCCTCACCGTCTTCAGCTTGCATATGAACTCTAAAACATTCTACTCTATGAACTATCTATGTGTATTGTAAATGTTCCTGCATAAATTGCGAGGACGAGATTTATAGGCCTACTGAGGTTTAACTAGTTTATATATAACGCTCAGAAGCTCCGTATAATCCAGTTTAAACAATGGCGAATTCAAAATATAACCTAACTTGGATACTTGCAGGAAAAATGGTTATAAGCACTTTATACTGGCTCAAGAAAAAGCCTCTGTCTAAACTAACAACAGCTAGTTCGAAATGCAAGCCAATTTGAAAACCTGCAGAGGGTATAAACACTACTACTAATATAACCCTTTCCCAGACTCTTTATATTTTGCAGTCTTAGGTATGGTGTTGTTTGCCATGATGCTGATTCTTCTTAAACTTGTAAAAATAGAGCTATGTGGGGAGCTGCTGGTGGTATTGGCCCTACACATGTTTTCCTGTACTGCAGGTTTTTTCCTGGCCTCCCTGATTATCCAGCCTTAGCATAAGTGTCAGCATCCAGTGAACAGAATTCTCTAGTACACCTCAGGCCTTTTGACATCGTCCTCGTCATCCTCGTCCGTAGACGGGTTATTTTATTTGTGCGCGCGGAGTATTAAAGGATGGACAGCTATCGTTGAAATGGGGTACAAACCACCATTACATACGAGGGTATTTTCCTGTTTCTTTTCTTTACTTTTCTATATTATTCGGCCTATACACTATTTAAATATTTAAACACAACACAAATGTGCCAGAACACATTGGAAACTCGACCAGTTTTTCCGCAAGAGAGCCAGTAGCACTCGACAAGCCCAAACACACCCTGTAGTGTGCTAACAAACTAATGGGCTCAGAAACCCAAAATTGTTTTACACAGTTTACTTACTACTCCCCATTGTTTCCAGACCCTCCCCCTCTTTTATCCAGTTGCTCCTCCATCATTTACTGCTCATAGGCGAACGCTCCTCTGCTCTGCATATTAATAAATATGCATAATGCTTAATTCGACTCGGCTTCCCGTGGCTGAAATAACAATCTGTACTTCGCACAGATCGTCAATTAATGGCAGGGAAGTGCTGTCCTTTTGGACAACACTTCGCCACGTGAAGTGTATTTTTACAGGTCATTCAGGTCGCAGTGCGACCTAATGACCTGACCTAGAGACTCGATGGGTAAGTCATTTCAGTTGAGTTACCATCAGTTGTTCACCAGTTCAACTAGTACTCAACATCAACGAGCTGACTAACCTGAACGGGGGTTCGCCTGTTCCCCTGTTATCTAGAGGTTCACCTGTTCCTCTATGAAAAACCTACAGTTTCTGCATGCTCTGTCAGGTCTTGAGTACCCATACTGTCTCAGTATACCAATGGTGGTCCCCAGACCATCAGGACTCATATGTCGCTGAACAACATGCACAGAGCCGCGTCACTCCCTCTGCAATCTAGAGGTCCGCCTGTTCCTCTAGGTAAAACGTAGGTTAGCGAGAGCCTCTAGACCGTTCGAGCACTTCCTTGCCCATAATATATGCCACAAAACCTGTCTGCTGTGTGTTTTTGTTTTCTGGTTTCTTGGGGTTTTTCCAAACTGCGGTTTGGATGCCATTTATTTCAACATATTAAACTTCATTAAGTTCTTCTAATAAGTTAAAACTATTTATACATATTTACAAGCTCTTCCTGAAAAAGAATGTTTATGCCTTTCTGTTCCTGAGAAGAATGATATATTGCGATTCCGGTCAATGTTCCTTAAATTGTACTGATTGTTAATTAATTTTGGCAAAACACTGTGACAGGGATGGTTTGGATCGTTCATAAACCTATCAACTTCTCGACTAGTTGCGTCTTCCCTTCTTTCGTTCAACAGTGGTAGGTAATCTTTTTCCAGGCCAAGGATTCTTAATCTCCTGGATTGAACACGCTCTATTTCTTCTCGCAGGTAATTAGGGAGTCCCGCCCAGACAGGTGATGCATACTCGAGAATTGGTCTTATTTTGGATTGATAGGTAATAATACCGACTTCAGCTGGTAAGTGCGATTTCCTGCATTCTCTAGATGGTAAAGGCGTTTGTTTGCTTTACGTGTAATCTCTTCAACATGTGCGTTCCATTTTAGATTATTTTGGAACGACACGCCAAGTAATTTAAAAGCGTTGATCCTTTCTATTAACTCATTTCCAATACGAAGACGTGGTGGTTCAGGTATAGCGTCCGTGAAAGAGATCCACATGTCCTTAGTTTTTTTAGCATTAATTGCCATTTTATTTAACACCGCCCAGGTCACGAATGACCCCCGGAGACCTGGCGCAGTGTGGTCGTTAAGTATTTTATACATTAATACTGACTTGGCACCAGACCGCCTATTTTCAAGTGTATCCCAAGAAAGCATGTTGAGAAGATCAGCTGAGCGAGTATCATAATTAGCACCCGTTAGGACTCTTGCTGCACGAGACTGAAATCTTTGCAACTTGTCTCTTAGCAACTTACCACAAGTGTCCCAAAGGGGGGAACAATAATCAAAGTAGGGCTGCACAAGACTTTTATAAATCGATTCTAAGGTATGCATTGGAACAAAGGGCTTTATACGTTTCATAGCGCCAATAGCAGCGCTCGCCTTCTTGCATATCATTTCAATGTGACTATCCCAATTAAGGGTTTCATCTAGTTTTACTCCTAGGCACATTTGTGTAGCAATTCGTGATATGGGTTTTGCATTAGCCACAACGGGTTCCTCACACATTATATTATTAAGATTATACGGGGAGCCAATAAACATCATTTTACATTTTGATGGATGCATCTGCAGCCTATTTTCTTTAAGCCAGTTACAGACATGGGCAAGATCTGAATTTAAATTTACAACAAGTTCGTTTGCATCGTAGGAAGATGAAAAGATTTGAGTATCATCCGCGTACATGCATGGATTAGTTGATTTCAAACAATCTGGCAAATCATTAATATATAATAGGAACAGCAGTGGTCCCAGTATAGATCCCTGGGGCACTCCACAGGTGATAATTCTATTACTAGATAATTCTCCATTAACATTACATTGCTGTTCTCTATTTGTTAAATATGACTCAAACCATTTTAATTCTACGCCAAAAATTCCAAATTGCTCATTCATTTTATTTAACAAAATGCGATGGTTTATAGAGTCAAATGCCTTTTTGATATCTATGAACACAACCCCATTTAACTTTCCATTGTCCATATTTTCTAGCCACTCATCACACATTTGGATGAGGGCAGTTACAGTTGAATGCTTTGGACGAAATCCAGATTGAAACTTTGACAGAAGAGAGCTTTCAGACAAGTATCTATATATACTTGACGGAAAACTTCCTTCTCAAAGGCTTTACTCACCACCGGTAAAATTGAAATAGGCCGATAGTTCTCACATTGTCTTTTATCCCCGGATTTAAATATTGGCGTAACACGAGCACGCTTCCATTCATCTATATATACGCCTGTTGCAAGCGACAGATTGAAGATGAATGTCAACGAGGGTGCAATTATGTTTGCAGATAATTTTAGAATTTTAGCAGGAATTTTATCAAGACCTGTTGCTTTACATGCTTTTAGGCCTCTTAGGGTCGAGGCAACACTATCAACGGATATTGGAGATACTTTAAAAAAAGTATCTGAGGATTGATTAATATTATAGTTTATGGGCTGATTATCAACATTACTACAGGACTCGTCTACATATTCTGCTGCTAGCCTCGACCCAATACTAATGAAATAGTCATTAAATGCATCTGCAATAGATTTAGGATCCGAAACTAACGTGCTGTCAACCAGCAGCTCATTCACATTGTTGGATTTGTTATTCTTTCCCAATAATGAATTAATTAATTTCCAAGTCTTTTTAGGGTCATTCATTACAGAGCAATCAGTGATTTTATCATGAAAATATTTTACATTTCGCATTTCAACATTCACTTTATTCCGCAGAAATTGAAAACTTTCCCAATGTGGCTGTGAGGAATGTTTTATTGCATATTTTTTATAATAGTCTCTGTTTCTCATCATACATTTAATTTCCGGAGTAATCCATGGGACCGAGTTCCCCTTTACTCGCTTATGTCGAATCGGCGCATGTATATTTAATATCTCATTAAAGAAAGATTTCCATACCCTCCAGCATTCGTTGGGATTATTATATTGATTAATTACATGCCAAGGCATTCTGGCTAAATCCCCAATAAAATATTCAGCATTAAAATGTTTATAATCCCTAACTTCTTTCACATTAGGTTTAAGTTTTGGAAGGGTGAACTTCCTGACCACATAAATCAAACTATGGTCAGACATCCCCAGATCTATTACACCAGACGTCGAAATGTTTTCTTTAGCATTAGTTAAGACCAAATCAATCAAGGTCGCCGAGGTGTTGGTCTCTCTTGTAGGTTTATTAATTAATTGGTCAAGTTGATAAAGAGAACACAAAAAGTTTAATTGTCGTGTATAGGCATCTGGTGAGGTTTTCATAACATCGCAGTTAATATCACCAATTATAATCAATTCCTTATTTTCAGACTCGCATTTTTGAAAAAATACATCACAATCATTAAATAAGCTCAAGTTTGACTTCGGAGGCCTATACCATGTGCAGACAAAAAGCGACTTGTTAAAGGGGCGAGTAATTTCAGCACACAGCATCTCAAGACGATCGGGCACCAAGTCATTCCTATCCAAATAGGATAGGTTGTCTCTGATATACAACACCACACCGCCTCCTGCCCTATTACGGTCCTTTCTTATCAAGTTAAAACCAGGGATACTTATTTCCCCATCCATTACAGAATCATCTATTTTGGATTCATTAATAGCAAAAATATCGAAAGGAAATTTAAATAACAGATGCCTAATTTCCTCAATGTGTTTCAATAAGCTATTGACATTTATACTAGCAATTTTTAGGCCTTTTAATCTAGCGACGCAATGCAATGCAGAATCAAACTCACCCATTGTTGGACCACGGCATGCTTTACCTGAATTGTCATTCCCAACATCTAACGGCGAGGTTTCTTGTATAGTGGAATTGTCGTTGGTTAGGTTGTTAGCTGGGTTAGTAGTTGTCCCAGCTGATGTATTGGGTTTAAAAAACCCATTTGCAGCTTCGCTCGTTTTCCCAATGGCCTAATAAATTTTATAAAATTATTGGCTAAATAAGCCGATCCCTTTGCGTTCAAATGTAGTTTGCTGCCGTTGAGGCATGTTCCATCAATACGCGAATTGTCAATAAAAACAAAGTCATCATTGTTAGCCATCTCCTTTAACTTTCCATTGACTGCAGATAACTTTGCCGACACATTGATATCATCTCTATGTACAATGCTGGAGATGCCAATCTTTGAATTTTGAAATTTTCTGCGGGTCTTCAAAGCCAGCTTTTGTATTTTTCGAACACATGAGTCTACGCTTTCGGATGATAGATTATTCGTACCTACATGAATAATTACATATGATAGTTCATCGTTCATTTGTATATTGTCTATTTCATCATGTATTTCTTCGACTCTTTTACCTGGAAACGACCGCTTATAGACTGTCTTTTTGGAGAGTTTTCGGGGGTCTATGTGCTTAATTATGGAGTCTCCAATAATCAAAACTGATTTCGGTTTATCGCTCGACTTATCGACGTCTTGTGTTGATGTTGATGTTTGACCTTGTCCACTGGCTTGGCTCTGGATAGCTTCGACAGGCTCTTCTACTTCGATAGCTTGCGATCCTTGCCCACTGGCTTGCCTCTGCATGGCTTCGACAGTCTCTTCGATAACTTGCGGTCCAGATATCGCTAGTGTAGAATATCTATTTTGGGTTGGAATATCCGGATAGGCTCTACTCAGTTGTTGACAACGTTGACAGTCGTCAGCTTCGTCGGAATTAATTTTCTCTCCAGTTGACTCGCTACTATTTAATGGTTGGTTGACTCCTAATTCTTTGTTTAATAGCCAGATAGCTGTAATTAGACTGGCTTTCTCTTCTTCCGCCTGTTTCACTTTATCTTGAAGG